CGGTAATGTGCACAGTGTCCCCTAACTGCCGACCGTCAAGACTGTTGTTCAGCTGCCTCATGCCTTGGCGCCCTGTGTAGTTGCTAGTGTACCGTAGCTCAGTGAGAGTCTGTACCCTGCAGATACTCGGGGTATTATTCACAAAACACAGTTGAATGAAAACATTGTAGGTCAGATAAACAATGAAAAGAAAACTGTTCCTGAATATACCTGTAATTAGTCTGGTTGTGCCGTGGTATCCACGGGGATTGGTTCCAAGAGCTCCTGCGGGTGCTCAGCCCCTCACATAAGATGACACAGCATTATGACCCACGCACATCCTCCCGTACACTTTGAATCATCTCTTAGTAACTTCCGATGCCCGGTACAATGTCAATACTGTGTAACTAGCACTTCAGGCTTTCTCTTGGTATCTTGGTTCTCTAGTGCTGCCTGTAACAGAAATACCACAAGTGGATGGCTTTAACAAACAGAAATTTATTCTCTTACAGTTCAGGAGGTTAGAAGTCCAAATTCAGAGTGTCGGCTCTAGGGAAGACTAGGCTAGAAGTCTGAGTTCACAGTACCGGCTTTAGGGGCTGGCTGTAGGCCCCTTGACCTTGGGTTTCAGCTCTGCCTTCCAGGGCTCCTGGTACAGGCAGGAGCCGTTTCCTGACTCATGCAGCTGCTGGGGCTGATGAACTTAATATTTGCAAACAGCGTAGCAGCCTCCTGGCTCCAAAGGCCGCAGTCCCCACAGGGACAGGTAACTCTGTAGGCCACTGGTTCAAGTCCAGCAACTGGAGATGATGACGGGCCATAATGCAGCATTTTAAATCAACTAAAAGCCAGAGACCTTGCTCCAAGCTTTCCACATGTGTTGGAAGCAGGCTACACCCCGAAGGCAGCTCTTCTTCAAGGGATTAGCAGCTCAGAGCAGATCTACGGTCTCATTACGGGGAATAGCTATATCCAGCCTCCAGGGGGCTCAGATCCTCGCCCCGCCTGGTTGACACACAACCTTAACTACTGCACTTAGCCTGTGAGAGACTGCCTCGACCACTTCAACTGCTGCTCCCCCAAGGTTTCAGCCGTGGTCGGTTGACTCTGTAGCTGTGGACCCTGCAGATACAGAGGGCTGATGATACATTTTGAACTCAAATGTATCATTTTTTTTTTTAATTTGAGAATTTTCAAAATTGGAGGTCTTCATTCCTGTTGTTGCGTGTTGTGTCCTTACCCTTCGATTTTGTGATGAGAGTTTGGCAGACGTAGGTACCGTTAGGCTCTCTGATTTCCTTTTCTTTGGCATTCCAGAAACACTTTCTCTTCCTTCCACTCCTTCCGTCTCCGGTACATAAGGAGGGCAGGTTGAGCATCCTTCTTCCCTCTGAAACGTAGTTAGCTTCTCTCAGCTGTCGGCCCCTTGTCCTGTCCGACAGTCGTGACGGCAACCGGCAGCTGAGAGCTCCCTCACCACTTCTAGGTGGTCGCCTTGTTAGTGTTCAGAGCTCCAGAGTTCACCTCAACTGAAAATCCTTGATGGATTTATTTGTTTCCAGTTAACAATTCTTGGTTTCAGAGTGCTTCTTGATTCTGTGTATATGAAGCGTTCTCTCATTCAGTGGAAGTACTGGGAGAATGCCCGAACTTCCACACCGATGACTCTGCAGTCAGTGACGCTTGCTGGTGATGACTGAGGTTTCAGTGGTACAATCCAATGCAGTAAATGCAGGACCCCCTAAGCCCCCTGTAGGGAGCTGAGGCCTTTTAAAAGTTTAGGGTGCAGAGAAAGCCTTTATGAGCATATGGGACCATCACTTTGGGCGCACAGCTCTCTAAATGAAGTTAAACATTGTTTTTCTTACCTATTTAAAACATTAATGCCTTTGCTATAATTTTTCAAGCTTGCTATATTTTAATTTCTCCAGGACGATATAATCAGTTTATGTTTTTCTGTTTTGAATTTGATTCTCCTCTCTTATGAATTGCATATTATAGCAAATAGTAATAGAAGTTAGCTAAATAGGCTGTGACAATTAAATTAATAATGCATT